TATAGTTTTTTACTATTATGAGTGAAGAACATATTTTTTGGTGAACACATGCACTCATTTCTCTTGGAGTGGAATTGCTGAAACATAAGATGAGCAGATGGATGTTTAGCTTAATAGATTTCCAAGCCATATAAAATATTTTTATTTGTTGAATTTTATTTCAGTATATATCATTTAACATAAATTATTTCATAATTTTCCTATTAATATATAATCTATTCTATATCTTTCTTTTAAAATATTGCTTTAAAAATCTATGTAATTTCCCAATACTATACAATTCCATTGCTAGACTATTAAATAAAAAGAAAAAACTGTTTCATTTTATGTGATTGGACAAGGTTATGTAGTAAAGTAATTCCCCATTTACCTGAATGTCTTCCATTTTTCTGGAAACCTAAGGATTCATAGCTCAGACAAAATATCTAAAAACAACTAATGAATATTAGTAGCTAGGGTTGTTCACATGATATAATTTTACTGACTGAGGAGACCAAAGGAAGGAAAAAGAAGGTTTAAAAACAAACAACAAAAAATAAGAAAAGAAGGAGGGGGAAGTAAAAGAAGAAGAAAGAGGTGTATGTCAATTGTCAAGGTTGAACGCATCAGCAGTCCAAGTTAGAAGAAGTGAACAGACCCTCAGAAGGTTCCAAAAGAAAATAGACCCAGACACAATGAGATGCAAGAGACACCAAACGTGGCGGCTTAGTAGTTGGCATGGTTCAGTGGAAGAGAAAACTATGTCCCACTCACATCAGTGATTACAGTGGCTTTATTTATGCACAGTCTCTGGAATTCTGAGATGACACTTTTATCATCTTCATATTCTCAAGACTTGGATGTATTAACTATTACCACATAAGAGACCAACCCCAAATAACATTTGTTCACTGTTTCTCATGAGATTGTAGGCTGGCTGGGTGGTTCTACTGGTTTGGGAAAAGCTTGGCTGCTCTTAGATGCAAGCTCACGCATCAGCTGTCAGCTAGTAAGGTGGACAAGATGACTCAACTCTCTGTGAGTCTCCCCCACCACCAGCAGGCCAGCCTGCACTCGTTCTCATGGCAGTGGCAGAGATCCAAGGGAAGAAACAAAAATGCACCTCTGCTTTGACAAGTTTGCTGCCATCCCAGTGGCGGAAGCAAATTACATGACCAAGCCCAAAGTCAGTGCAGGAGGCTGCTACCAAAGGGTAGGGATACAGGAAGGCATGACAAATTGGGGCCATTAATGCAACCGATCTGTCATACTGGCATGGCCTAAAACTATAATTACAGATAATTAAAAAAATAATATATTACTAGTTAAAAACTATTGGATTGGCCAAAAATATCATTCAGGGTTTTCTGCAACATCTTATGGAAAACCTGAACGAACTTTTTGGCCAATCCAATATTTGAACATATAGAGGACTACAGTGGGCTCCTAATAAATATTTGATCGATGAATAAATTTAGTTCAATGCTGAGAATGTGTCCACTACAACCATTCGTGTGTCAGTCAAGGTATATAAGAATTCATAATTTAGTCTTATAGTCTATAGGGTTCAATATGCTGCATTATGAGCACCACTCTCTAACACAAACACCAAGTTTTTTCTACAGAGAAGCAGAAGATAGAGTTTAAAAGCTGTGTGTGAGAAAATTAAGCATATATATTGCTTGAAAAGGGTAAACAATAAGTATTTTGAGCGAAAAGTATAACATTTCCACATTCAAGTTATATAAGTTTAGAAACAATCAAGGGTCAAATTCTTTTATCTCCCTTGTTATGTTTTAAATACATTCGACTCACTTCAAGCTATTGGGTCATGGTGTGAGTGATTAGGCATACAATATTAAACTGGCCTCCTTTGGAAACGTTTTCCAAATTTTATCTTGGTGGAGACTTTAAGGGGTCTCAAAAATTTCCAGGATGAAGTAGCTTGGGGACTGTCCCTTGCCCCAAATTTCCAAGGAAGCATCATGAGGACGGGAGAGGAAGAGGCATTGCTTCATTAATCGAGTAAAGTGCTGCCACCTATTTTTTCTTTTAATGTAAAAGCAATGATATTGCTATTTTTAACCATCTCCCCGATCCCTTCCTAATATTTTTGCATTATTCTAACCTGTGGAGCAGAAAGCTTTTCATTATATATTATTAAAGAAGATGGCTCATAAAAATTCATCCCAGAGGCACTACCCAGGATTTATTATGACATTAAAGTTGTGCTTGGGATTCTGTGAAATGCCAAGCATCAAGGGAAAGTTGTAGAGAAGAGTGGTCTTCTGCTAAACTTTCACATGTGATGATAAAGAGAAGCTGTTGAGGGCTTGGAATGAGGCATCTCTAAGACAACCTCAGCACTGAAATAATGCAGGGTGTTCCCTCTTCACTCTCCATAATCACACTTAGTGTTGATGGAGCCACATTTCCTGATAACCATTGTAAGAGTCCTACTGCTTTGAAAGGATGCTAACAATATGAACTGAGGAAAACTGTTTTCTTGAAATTGGGAAGGAAACTTACTTTAGCCTTTCATTGAAAGACATTGCACAAGGGGCCAAACAGATAGTTACAAACCCTTCATTCATAGAAAACAACTTAAATGGTCATTGGGTACTTACTGACTACCTGTTCTTTGCAAAGCAAATTAACAAAGCCTGAAAAGAAATTAGTCTGGGCTGGTGGAAAAGTCTATGCTTAAACAACTTTTAAAGTATGAATGGATACATTCAGAAGGGCAGATGATTTCTTGCTTGGGGGAATGAGGGAAGTTTTGGAGGTGGCATTTTGGTAGGTTGCTTTTAAGAATTGATAGAACATCATCATGTGACATGGCTAGGAAAGATGTGTGCTACGTGTGTGAATAGAGAATAGTGATAATCCAGATTGGCTAAGTGACGGTGCAGGCTGAGGCCCAAGCTGAATGCTGATATCAGTAATCTCAACATTATTCTTTAGGTAGTGGATTGGAACTCAGGCTTTACCAGCCAGATAGTAATATGATCAGAGCTGCTGTTTGGGAAAATTAACCTAGGTGTAGAAGAGATTTGAGGGGCTAAGAAATTCAATAGGAAGTTACTAAAAATTTTGGGTGTTGAAGAAAGAAAAGTTGTAAGGGAGAAGGGAACTTCCAAGACAGGGTAGAATTCATGGGTTTTATAAACAGATTGAGTGTGGAAGCACACAAGGTTTAGCACCTGTTATGCACTGTTAAACAGGTAGGACAGATGGAGGGAGGGTCTCTTTTTTTGATTAATTACATATAATGTGCATGTGGGCCACTTGTTTAACCGAAAAGCTAAGAGGAAGAACCAGAGCTTAGGAGAAGTAAGAATTATGTGCAGAGAAGTAGAAATTGAAGGCACGTGACTGAATGAAACAGCTAAGGAAAATACACGTAAAGAACATTCTTTGAACTGATGGTGAGAAATAGATTTCTTTCTGCTTTTGAAATGCTTTCCAGGAAGCTCACTGCTAAATTTCAAACCCAATCGTGTAAGTGTCCTTTAGTTTAGGTTTTCTGATATAAGGTTTCTCTTGTGCTCTATCTTTAAAATTAAGTCCCCCCCCGACCCCCATTAAGACTTGGGATTTGAGTAGCTTGTATAGTATTTTTTGAAATACTATATATTTCATGGATTCCAAGCTTCATATATTTTCTACATTTTAACATCCTTGAAATTGAGATGTGTCTTATAATCACTGGATGGTGTGTCATAGTTTAACTGGCAGCATGCTTTCATTCTTTGTGGAATATAAAATAGTAATGGGCATGTTCTAATCAACAATGTCTTGGATTTGATGAAATATGGTACTTCCCGATGGGTTTCCCTATCTTGTCAGTCTGCTTTCTTTTCCATGAAGCCTTTTATCCCCCCAAAAGGGGAAGAACAATCTACTTGGGGAAGAAGTGCAGTCCAGTATGAGCATTCCAATCAATCATCCATGAGCGACTGACTATCCTTTCAGGGCTGATAGCAGGGAGAAAGGTAAGAATTGAGTCAAGTGCCTTGATCCCCAGATTGGGACAAAAAGTCCTGGAGGTGGGAGAAGGAAGATGTAGTAGAACCTCTATAGGCTTACTTCTTGCTTCTCCTGGCATAGCTCTAGAAAATTACAAGCCTCCTGGAGAAACCCCCGTGGTATTGGAACAGCATGGTGTTAGAAGCTGACAAATGGCCAAAGGAGGTATTTAAATGGATGAACCTGAGCTAGCACCTCTGGTTCCCACTCCCAACAAAATCCAGAAGTTTCTGTGTATCCCAGAAGAATGTTGGAAAAATCTGAGCCTAGGGTGAAAACTCCTCTGAGCAGAAACCTTGAGACACTGGGATGGAAGGGCCCACCTTGCAGGCAGTTAGGACCACCCTACAAAGGAGGCCAGATGCTCCTCCCCATTGCCAGGAGGACACACACGCTTCTATTCACACCAAGAGGCCACCTGGGGAAAGAAGCAGGGAGACCTCCTTAATGGGGAGGGAACTCTAACTGGGAGTTTGACTTTGAAGTAATTTAATATGCCTCTGAAATAGGTGTTTGATTTTGTTTTTAAGTTGGAAGAGACTGAGTAACTGTAATTGGCAAGATTTTTTTTTCCTTCATAATAAGTGAGAATGCAGGATTTGAGTGCAATATGAACTTATAATTGAAAATAAACACATCTTTTTGTTGTACATTTGAGCTGTGTGTACATTTTCATCCTATTACAATGGATCCTTTCAGGGAGTAAGATGTCTCAAATACTGAAAGTAATCTGGGTTAAAGAAAAAACTGGCTCTGGATCTAAGTTGGACCTCAGAAATACTTATGGCAGTGTAGGAGGATGAAAAGCCAGAGAAGAAATAATCAGAAAAATGGGAAAAGTAAGAGTTTGCTCCTACTTTTTCTGCTTCTCTCTCAGAAGAAGAGCAAAGAGCAGGGGAGTGATGGATTCAGTCAAGTGCTACAGAATGGTGAGCTCAGCTGAGCGCTGGGAAGAAGCTGTTTGATATGATGAGGGAGCCATTTGGAATCTCTGAAAACTGGCCATCCAAATGTGGTACCATTTTAATAGCCATCATTTTTCATGGGATGTTAGTGTTGAAAGATACATAGTCTAACTCCACTGTCTTGCAGATAAGGAAATTTGGAACCAGAGAATTTCACAGAAGCCAGTTCAAAGGATAAATACGAGAAAAAGAAGAACAAAACAAGTACTTTACATTGGGAGTCAACTAGAATCAGCCTGTTTTGCGTCAGGAGCAAAATGTGTTGGGTCATGCATAAGCCCCCTTCAATGAAGAGATCTTTTATGAAACAGGAAAAGTACACTGGAAAGCATCTTTGGGAGCAAATACTCTGACGGGTGTTAGATGTGTTTTCCTTTTTTATTAGAGAAGTTGGAAGTTTAATTTCAATATTGATGGTAACATAATTTTCTCTGCTTTATTCAGAGGAACACACAGAATCAATCTGTACAGGCATATACAACAATTCAGTTGGTGGTTTGTGCCCTAAAATCAGTAATCTGATTAGCTCTAGACTACAGTTTCCATGCACTCCTCTGGGCTTTGGGGCACGGCTCCATTCCCAGGGGGGATTTCTTCATGCACTCTCTGCAACACAACTATAGCAGGCTTAAAGGCCATGCAGATTAACACTGTAGCAAATTGTTTTGATATTTAACAGACATAAAAAGGTTATTTCCTGATATGAAATTCTGAAAATCTGCATAAATATTTTTGTGTAAAATTAAATTAGTTATGTATCTTTTTTTGAAACTAGAACTTGAAGTATCAAGAATGCCCACATAATTCATATACACATATATATAGACTTCTTCATTATGCTAAAAGTCTTGAGAGTCAAATTATATTCTGTGCCATACATTTTCTTAACCAGTATTTACTTGCATTAGGTTAACTGTGTACGGATCAGTCGTAATTGGTGCTTGTGTATCATGCAAACATAGTTCTAGTATTCCTGTTTACTAATCTTGTCATGTGGCAATACTTAGATGATTTTGCTCTCTGATAGTGAGAATTAGGTGTATAAATACTTTATACATGGTCACATTTACAAACGTTTGCCAATAACCACTTCACAATCTTTATGGTGTAAGAGTGAGCTGTAATAATCTGGAACTGGCAGAAGCAATTCCTAGAAAGCAATGTCAGATGTCAACTTTCTTAAAAGTGCCTGACAGAGTTCTCCTTTTGAGCACTGATGGGTTTTGGCACAGGGACACTGTTCTTTTTTTTTTTCTATTGTTCTAATAATTTCCACAACTGTTACAGGAAGTTAGCTTCTTATGGCATGGTGGAGACTTGGCACTTACTGATGAGGTAACTTAGATGTAGAAAAATTCCCCCAGATTATTTGTCTAGCAGATCACCACTTCTGCTGATAAATTTGTAGACAGAGTTTTTTTTCCCCCTAGTGCATGCGCTTACTATCACATGGCTAATACACTATTTTTGCCATTGCTCAAACATGTCCTAATGCATCACAAAGCAGAGTTGTTAACACCAAGCTCATTTATCTGTGATGGTACTTTATAGCAAACATGTTTAAGTGGTATGATCAATGGGTAAACTCTGCCTTATTGGAATCGTAATTTGGGGGGATTTGTAGCTACTTTTGGTTGGCCAAGGAAATTCAGTATTCAAAACATTTAAGAGAAGTATGTAAGTCTCTGTGGGTTTCAGGTGACATCTTGTCTATACATAAAGGAAACGCAAAAGACATCAGCTTTCTTCCACGGAATTTGTGTTCAGAACTTTGGGAGTGCTCTTTTGATGCAGTGGTTCTGTGGTTTCAGTTTGTGTCCTGGAGTTTCACACAACTGTTGCTGGTCTGCGGTCCATCTCGGCTTCCAATTTCACCATCTGCTGCATCTCCTTCGCCTGTAACATCAGAAACGTGACCTTACATGTTGAAATCCTCTCCTGAAGCCATAGAGCAAACCCAACCTCTCTTCTCCCGTAAATTTGATGCTTGTCATTATGTCCTGGCTACTTAAAGTGTGGTCCATGGACCAGAATCATCAGCATCACCTGGGATCTTGTGAGAAATGCGGAATCTTGGACTCCACCCCAGACCTACTGACCCAGAATCTGCATTTTAATAAGATCCCCAGGAAATTTTTATGCATGTTAAAGTCTGAGAAGGACTGGTCCACACAGTACCAGGAAAACAGCTTGAGAAGAGGCTACGCCTGTTACTCATAGATTATGTCGTGTCTAACCGTTTGATTTAGTTTCTACAGATTGACATGCCTTGACTGTATGTAGATAATTTGATCACTTTTAGAATAAGCATTGCTTATGCACGATTTAGTCCCCAAATAGCCTGAAATTTAATTAAAAGTAGTTGCCTAAGAATTTCACTGATGGAGAAGTTCAGGTGGGAGCATATCACATTGATTTGGTTGGAGTATGCTGAAAACAGAACGTTACAGGAATATGTAGGGTTCCTGGAATGCTATTGTCCAAAAACTATCCTTATAGGCTCTCACTTCTCTGGAGTAATTCATTTTTTATGGTCCACCCCAGGAAGTAAGCCACAGTGAACTCAATCTCATGAATTAAGGCTGTCAAGAAGACAACCAGCTGATTTGTGGGGTGGAAAGGCGTTCATATGGGGACATGTTCTGATGACAAATCATTGCCTGGCAAAATAGGGAAAATCAACTGGTTCATTTTATCTTTTACTTTCCAGCCGTATGCTTTTTTCCAACCCAATACATGGATCTTTCGGAGGAACAATAAAGCACGCTGTCCTTTTTTAGTGACACATCATTTTGAAATAAAGGGCATTTAAAAATGGAAACATGGATATAGAAAGATATAACTCAAGAGCAGGACTCTCATGAGCTCTGATGTTACTACTTATGTCTACTTAGGTATTCCAACCAAATGGAAGGTCAGTTGGAGGATTTGGTCAACTCTGCAGATCATACTATGAGCATCTAAATGTCCCAAATGAAGTCCTGCTACAAAATTAGTTTAACCCACAGACCATAGAGTGAGTTCCTTCTTATCGTTATTTTTGTTTGTTGTTTTTTGTTGTTTTTTGTTTTTTTGTGGTACACGGGCCTCTCACTGTCGTGGCCTCTCCCGTTGCAGAACACAGGCTCCAGACGCGCAGGCTCAGCGGCCATGGCTCACGGGCCTAGCTGCTCCGCGGCATGTGGGATCTTCCCGGACCAGGGCACGAACCCGTGTCCCCTGCATCGGCAGGCGGACTCTCAACCACTGTGCCACCAGGGAAGCCCTTATCGTTATTTTTATATTGTGGCTTTAAATTTCATTTTGGTGAGGATGGATATAACAACATTAAAGATGATAACTTTCTGCTTACATTTGGGATTGACGGTTCCCCCTCCCCAGATTTTTTTTATGCCTGAGATATAATAATGCTCTAATAGAGAAATGAAGAAATGGAGAAAAATATACAAACATGAAACTATGACACAAGCAGTATTCATAAGAGATGACAGTGAAACATTATCAGCACTAGAAATTAAATACTTTTATGTGCACTAAGTAGTAATAAAGGATTCCCTATGCTTCTCCCCCTCTAGCATTTAAAGACAATATTGAACACTTTTTAGAAAGAAGGATCATATTAACACTAAAAAAGGATTCCAAGAGCCAGCTTCTCGTATGAGCAGGGTGACCATTCATGCCCACTTGTCAAGGATGGCTTCAATTTATGCCCATGGTCTTGGCTATTATGAACAGCTTCCCCTTTCACTTTCAAAACTATCTTGTTTGAACAATAAATTATATGGTCACTTATAAGGGGTGATTAAGGTCCCTGGCAGATTGGATCTAACACAAAGCATGCCAAGAGTCATTGTATAATAATATTGTATAATGTTTCTGCACGCAGACCATAACTCTTTGTCATTAAAAACCACCAATGAACTTTCACCAGGGTGCTTTAAAAATTAATGGCAGTCATATTAATGTTTGTGAAAGATATAACTCTGTGACCCAGTCTTAGCTGTGGTCTGTCCAAACAACAATCATACATCACTGTTTTTGATGCCTGGGTACATCTTCATTAGCATGACTTGAGTTTCCCAGGTCTGCAACTGGAAAGGCTACTAAAACTCCATCAGAAATAATTCTCTCAAGATGTTGGCCATTTTGGTTTAAATATTACATCAGAAATCCAAGCATTAAATAGTCACACTTTTAAATTAAACCCTTGCAATCTTAACTAGTCATGAGCAGATGTGAATCATCAAAGCACCAAGAATACAGATGTAGTTGAGCAGGAAGGCAATGTCTTGCTTATCAGAGTTTTCAGTCCTACCTTGCGTTTGGGACACTGCATGACAGGATTTCAAAAGCTGTTTGTACAAAAATAGTAATGTCAAAATTGAGTCATACATACAAAACAAAGAAAATAAATGAATACTGAAGTGAATTTGAAAAATGAATGCAAAACCATATACAGAAAAGCAAAAAGCTAAGACTAAAACATGTATACAACCGTCAGTGACAAACTTCCCCAAGTTGATCTCAACAGAAAAAAAAAGAAACAAAACAAACGACCGAGGCCTATTAGCCCAGACTGAGCCTCTCCTGTGGGGCAGTGAGTGGGGAACCCTCCCTTGAGCGAGACCCCCTCACCTTTCTTTATTAAATGACAGGATTGATGGCAAAAGTCAATTTTTAAAACTTGGGTGTGACAGTAATGGAGCACTTCAGGTTTGAAATGGTGCATGTCAAGAAGGATGAGCTCCTGTGTGGCTGGGAGGTCGATGGGAAACAGCAGCAAAAACCCTTTGGAGTTTTAAATGAATAACTGGCTGACCAAGTAGACAAGGCCATTAGGAGGCTTTAAAAGGCCATATGAGGTTAGGATCCAGAGTCAGGACCCAAATATATTAAAACTTGAGTTGTTTCTACCAATGCCCTCAACATTGTCTAGCTAATGAAGCAGATCGATTCCAGGCTTTTCTTTAGGAGTGACTGGGAGAATTTAGGCGATTAGGGTCACAGGAAAGCAGGTAAGAAACCTTAAAGGGAGGTATTATGGGAGAATGTTAAAATTCATTTATTTTTGGCTTAGAAACAGAAAAAAGTTTTGGGGTTTAACAGTAGTTTGGGAGATTGTTATACAAGTTTGGGATTGCCTGGAGACAGGAAACTGTTTTCTGCCAATGAAATATTGGTTATAAAGGGAGCTCTCCAAATGGTTCTAGACCTTGCCTATTATGAGGGAAGAAACAGAGTCACTATGTCTTTTGCCCTGTGTCTATGACAGTGTTGAAACACACCGAGTAACTGAATTGAGAGGTCTCTGATCTTTAAATTCCAAAAAAAGAAAGGTATACCAGAAATACCTGGGGTTGAATTTGCTATAGAATAGGCCATATTTGTAAAGCAAAGCTTAACAAAGAAATTCAAGTCCTAATTCTACATTTGCTGGAAGTGTCACTATATCTTGAATTTCTTTTCATGGAATCTCATTAAATCTTCATCAAATCTCAAGCCTTCTCATGTTTTTTCCTAAGCTTCTGTGACTCAAAGTATTAGGTGTGGGTGGTAGACATTACCTGTGACCCACTGAAAGGCATTATATGAATTTTTGGAACAAAAGGTCACTATTCTCCCAATATGATCCAATCAGTACAGTTATCACTAATCCAGTATTTCAGTGCAAGAACTCTGGTGTGATTTGAGTTACACATGTATTAGGATAAAAGCCCAAAGTGATTTTTAAATTATGCAATTTAGCTCTCAAACTAAAAAGACTAGGTAACCATACTCTCTAGCTCTGATATACACCACTATTGTAGTGATGAGTAATTTTTAGCACATCTATATTCTTTAGTCAAACTTGTTGCCAAGCAACACAATGATTTCTAAGTAGTTTCTTAATTTAGCTAACTGAAACATAACTGCATCTTACCTCCATTGTGCCTTCTTCTAAGGCATCCTTATCCCCACCCAGTCCTGATTCACTAAAGTGGATTCTATTGTTTTGGAGATGGTGGCTCTACCCTTACTCATTCTCCCATTCCCCCCCGCACCCCCCCCTGCAGCACTTTCTGAGAAATGCTTTAGGAGCAAAATCATTAGTAACTTGTACCAGAAGGCGAAGTATCTATGAGTTGGTCAAATGAGTTGGGCCCATGGGACAATAAACACTTATTGTCCCCCTTAGGGATCTGTGGACTGTTCATGAATAGAAGCATTTAGCTGGAAAGGAAATGGGAAACATAACTCAGAAGTATGCCCATGAGTAAAACTTCTATCAACCAAAAAGTAAAGAATCTGAAACCAGAAGTTGGATTTATTTGTTACCCAATTGCAATACAAAAAAAAAAAAAAAAAAATTTTATGGTTTTGTTTTACTTTCTCAAAGGTAGTTTTTAGTGTAATTTCCAGTTAGGTGTTCTTCAATGGAATCCATTTACTCTTAAAAAATATACCTTAAATAGTATTACTTTATATATGAAAGGAAATAGGAAAGAATGATGTAGTACAAGTACGTATTTCAGCAAGACCTCTTTAAAGCTTCTAGATTGAAGTGAATTATCTAGAAACTTCCAAACCAGCTACACCTAAAGAGGTGTATTTGGAGAGACAGACTGAAATTTTAACTGGTGCTGAGGGTCATTTTGCCACATAAGCTAGAGGTATTTCCATCAAATTGAAATGAGTGCGGATGGCCGATGGCCCATCTATATGTACTGCTTGAGGTAAACACACATTTATCCTGGTGTTGGTATATGCCTGATAGCTACTAAATAGTTGGATTTTGGATAACTCTTTTTATTTGTGTACGTTTATTTTTATTTGTGTATATTTAGCGTTTAGCACCAAGAGTATGGTATCCACTCACTTCCAGTGGTTTGTAGAGTTATGGTGGCTCATGCCTCTAAGTTTCACTTGTAAGGCCTAAGAAGGTTCTATAACTTCATTTTTAGATTGAGGTTGAAAGTAGGTGGTCTCTCTCATTTGCTTTTAAATACAACCTCACTTGTCTCTAGGGTACAAGTGATAAAACTCTAAGTGAAAATGAAGAAACAATTTGTAACCTGTTTTCTCCTCCTCTCAGTAATGTCCTTCTTAGAATCCCCATAATCTAGTCAAAACATGACTTTTGATTCTTTTCTCCCCACAGCCACATTCCTCTCCCACTTCAAAAAAGAATACTCTCTGTTCTTGGTGGATGAAATGGGGTAAGTACAGTAGGCACCAAATTTTTCTAGCCATCTTTCCGTGCCACTACTCAGGTCACGGGCTTTAGCAGAAGGGTGACTCTGACCTACGGCATTTGCCTCCCGAAGCTGGTTGGCTGCCTACAACTTTTTATGCTTTTTAGGTGAAATACCTGCTCGTTCTGTTTCTCTAGGAATTCGAGGTGTTCAAGCTGGACTTTTTTCAACTGGTCCATTTCTTTGGACTGCTTCATTGCGAGCTGCAACAAAACAAAACAAAACAAAACAAAACATCTGAGCAACTTTGGGTTGTAATCTTAAAACTTATGGATGAAGGTTGGTAGTTTGCAATTTAAGTGACGGATATAAAAAAATAAAAATAAAAAAGAAGAAAGAAAAATAGCGTGAAAACTGGGAGAGTTTAAACCCATAATTTTTACTGGCAAGATAGTTCCTGCCAAAATCTTAGAAAACAAGAGTACTTGTTCACGATTAAAATCTGGCTTCATTTTCTGTATAAGATGGAACAAATAATTACCTTAAAGATTTCAGTGAGAGATTAATTTAGCTTTCAGGGAGCGGAGAAGAGAAGCTAGAATGTTTGACGTACAGAAAAAGCAAATTAGCTAGTAGTCTGATTTCTAAGCATGAGTTACTGTTTATAGTTTTTTTAAAGGAAAGGTGTCAAGAAAATTATAAAATACTTACTCGCTTTCTTTCTTCCAGAAACTTTTTAGTGTTGCTGCTGTTTAACTCCCTGACCCGCCTAAAAGCGACAGGTACAAACAACAGTTGGTATGATGTCAGTTGGACATAATATTAAATAAGAAAGAGTCATATTCCATTTAATTATTTGGATGGGATTATCACTTCCTTTTCCTAATTTTTATTGAGGAATTTTGAAATGTACAATGTACAGAGAAAAAGACAAAAAACATCTGTGTACCCATCACTCAGATTAGTCAACATTATGTTTTACCATGCTTGTCTCATATTTTTAAAGGAAATAAAGCATTGCAGATATAAATAAACCCCCCTTTGTATTCTTCCTCACTCCACTTCCCTCCTTTCTCTCTCTCCAGAGGTAACCACTATTCTGAATTCGGTGTGGACCTTCCTATCCATGTTTTAATATTTTTATTACATATGGATGTATCCATATATAATATACACAAATGTTTCTCAAACTTTCACATGCACACAAATCACATGGAAATACTATCAAAAACACAGATTTCTGAACCCACCCCCAGAGGGTCTGATTCAGTGGGTCTGGGGTGGACCTGAGATTCTGCATTTCTAATAAGCTCCCAGGTGATGCTGATGCTTCTGGACTATACATATACTGTTTTGTATGGTTTCCAAATTAACCTAAATGCTAACATATTCTGGGTTTCTTTCTGTAACTTAAAACTTAGCCTTATGATTAAGAGATATAGCTATGTTTCAAACGATTCCATTATTTTCATCTGCTGCATGGATTTTTCTGTTTATGAGTAGATTACAGTATTTTCATTTTGCCATTAATAGAAAGTAGGTTATTTCTCAACAATGCACAATGGTTTGGCGCATAGGGTCCTGAAATGCTTGGCACACTGTCTATTGGCTAAATAAATGAAGTGTAGGACATATCTTCTTGTGCGTATGAGCAAAGTTTTCTCCAGGGTGTAAACCTGTTGGTAGGGAGTGAACAACTTTATCTTTACTCCAAAGTACCTGTCCCAGTTTGCACTCCCACCCATGGTGTCTGGGTGTTACCCTTTCTCCATATTTTTGCCTACTCTTGTTACTATCAGACATTTCCTTTTCTATCAATTGCTGGTTTTTTGAAATGGCATCATGCTATTGTTTTAACTCACATTTCCCCTGATTATTGGTGAGGTGGGGTGTTTTTCATGACTAAATAGACATATAATTGATTGAATTTCTATAATAGTTATAGGTCTATTCAGGTCTTCTCTTTCTTTTACAGTCAGTTTTGGATATTTTAGTTTTTCTAAGCAATTGTCCATTCATCTAGGTTTTTAAATTCATTAGTAGTATTGTTTACAGTAGTCTTGGTTTTCAAAAATATTTACTGTATTTGTAGTTATTTCCATTTTCATCCCCAATACTACTAATTTGTGGTATCTCTTTCTTCTTTATCAGTCTTGCTGGAGGTTCACTGATTTTTTTTTTTCAAATAACAAGCTTTTGCTTTTGCTTTTTTCACTTTTTTACTTCCATTGCTTTTTGTTTTCTATTTTAATATATTTTGCTTCTTAAATTTTTATTTTTTCCCATCTGACATCTTTGGGTTCCGTTTATTTTTCTAATTTTATGCCCTCTTTGAGCATTTTCTTATTAATTTTCATTTCTTTAAAAAATATATGCATTTAGGCTATAATTTTCACTGTAAATATCACTTTAAGATCTAGGGGCAGGAAAGGAATAAAGACGCAGACATAGGGAATGGACTTGAGGACATGGGGAGGGGAAGGGTAAGCTGGGACGAAGTGAGAGAGTAGCACTGACATATATATACTACCAACTGTAAAAGAGATAGCTAGTGGGAAGCAGACGCATAGCACAGGGAGATCAGCTTGGTGCTTTGTGACCACCTAGAGGGGTGGGATAGGGAGGGTAGGAGGGAGACACAAGAGGGAGGGGATATACGTATATACGTATAGCTAATTCACTTTGTTATACAGCAGCAACTAACACAAAAATGTAAAGCAATTATACTCCAATAAAGATGTTAAAAAAAAAAGATCTACTCTCTTAGCAACTTTCAAGTAATATACAGTGTGAGCTACAGTCACCATGCTGAAATTAGATGCCTAACACTTATTCATCTTATAATTGCAAGTTTGTATCTTTTAATCAATGTCTCCCCATTGACACCCCTACCGTCACCCCCTGGTAATCACCATTCCACCCTGTTTCTATGAATTTGGATTTTTTATAGACTCCACAAATATATAGTATTTTTTTCTGTCCGATTTAGTTCACTTAGGATAATGTTCTCAAAGTTCATCCATGTTGTCCCAAATGGCAGGATTTCCTTCTTTTTTTGGCTAAATAATATTTCATTGAATAGACATCTCAAATTTTCTTTAACCATTCATCTGTTCATAGACACTTAGGCTGTTTCCATGTCTTGGCTATTGCGAATAATATTGCAATGAACATGGGGATGTAGGCATCTCTTCTAGATAGTTTTTTCATTTCCTTCAGATATATACCCAGAAATGGAATTGCTGGATCATATGGTAGTTCTATTTTTAATTTTTTGAGGAACCTCCTCCATACTGTTCTCCATAGTGGCGGCACCACCAATTTACAATCCCACCAAGAGTACACAAGGGTTCCCTTTTCTCCACATCCTTGCCAACACTTATTATCTCTTGTCTTTTTGATAACTGCCATTCTAACAGATGTGAGGTGATATCTTATTATGGTTTTGATTTGCATTCCCTGACGATTCGTAGTGTTGAGCATCTTTTCATATACTGTTGGCCATTTGCATGTCTTCTTTAGAAATATGTCTATTCAGGTCCTCTGCCCACTTTTAAAATCAGATTATTTGTTTTTTGCTATTGATTTGTTGATTTGCTCATATATTTTGGATATTAATCCCTTACCTGATATATGTTTGCAAATATTTTCAAGCATTTGGTAGGTTGCCTCTGTATTTTGCTGATTATTTCTCTTCCTGTGTACTTCAGCTAACTCTGACACATTGATCAACAGTGTTTATGTTGTCATTCAGTTATAAATATCATGTCATTTATGTTGAAATGTCTATTTTGACCCAAGAATAGAAGTATTTTTCAACTTCTGCATGTCTTTCTTAGCTCTCTGATTATAAATTTTTAATTTTATTTCTCAGTAGTATGATAAGGTGGATACACACAGCATGTGTTTGAAAAGGTAACCATTTGGCATAGAGAAATTATTTTTTAAGAGACCAGCCATTTGTAGATGTTTGAGAGTCAACTAACCACTGGATACTGAGTTATAATAAATAAGTATAATAGGTCAAAATAAGGAAATTAAATAAAAAACTTTCCTGGTTAAGTTATCAGTAACTCATAACTTAAGATAACTTGATCTCAACTGGGTTAAAGTCCATTTTGCAACACAATTGAAAAAGTATGATAAAGAGCTATTTAATAATTAGCACATTTATCATGTTGAATTCTATATTTCAGTTTGGACAATCTAAAACAGTTTAACGAGGTTTTACCATGGCATGAATATTTTGTGTTTTTCAGCTAAAGTGGACAATGTCATTTCCATGTACACAAGACCATTAAGCAAAGTTCCTTATCTGAGAATAACGTCCAGAGGGTGGCACTTTGTTAAAATAAACAAGAACCAGATAACTACCCCAAAATGATGGTGTAAATGAGCATTGATTAAATTGAGTAATAATCTCCCTAGAGAGACACAAATGACACTCCATGTTTACTGGGAAATTTCTTGGCCAAAGTGTTGAAAAGGCAATTCATTTCCAGGTCAAATTACTGTGGAATTCCAAAACGTACTGCTGGCCAGTTAATTCCAAACCATATTTAATCCAACAAAACTTCAGCATAAAAATACACTGGATGGTATTATGCTTTATATTTTGTCCTATTTCAAGTTTAACTTTAATTATGGTTAATAAATGAGATGCGTTTTAAAAATCAACGATATTGAAGTAGTTGGACAGCAGTTACTGCTGCATTCAAGACAAGGAGGAAACATCAGGTATCAACTAAGTGTCCACAAAAGACTGTGTAGACAGTGGAATTGAAACAGGGGTACTTTGCTTGTAGCTGCAAAGTCTCCTAACAGCTCAGCCTATGGTCAACAGCTGAATGATGTAAAGCCCTAAACTTCATGCTCACATTTTAACCCCCAAAGGTAATCTTCACTTTGCTCTGAATTTTGTTGAGCATAAAACACAGCCTTTGTGTGGGTGGTGAACTCAGCCGGCAGCCACATTCTATCCAAGTCTATTTCTCCAAGAGATGCAATCCTGCTGTGCTTGACCACTGCTGTGTGAACCTAGCTCTCAGTTCTGGAGCAACCAGCATCTGTGTTCTTAGAGGCTTTCAGGGCAGCCATGAGCATCACAGGTGAAGATGGTTTTTGGGATCACTGGGAACCAAGTGCTGCTAACTCCCTCTCTTGGGTACTATGACTACCGATGTCCTCTCAGATCCCCTTTACCAGCTTTGGCTAAAAGGCTTGCACCTGGGATCTTCTCTGGAGGTCACACAAACCTTCCCCCAACTCTATGTGGCCAATGACTGATTAACATAGAAATACAAAAGCCAGACACCAGTGGTTCAAAGGGACAGATCATGGTAGAGTTTACAATCCAGAGCTTGGGATCAGGCTGAAGAGGAACTCTAGCCAAGACCATATCCTTACTTAGCCCCTGCCCTGGCCCCCTCCTGCTCCCTCCTCTCCCCTTAGCTGAAGGTCCTTTCCTCAGTAAATCATATGCACACAAATTCCTGTCTTTGTTTCTAGAAACCCATTCTAAGACAAGGATGAACCAGAAAACCTGTGTGTGTGTGTGTGTGTGTGTGTGTGTGTGGGGTGGCGGTGGTTTGAGATGACACCTGGTGTTGAGGACAGCACAAGGCCAGTCAAGGGAAGAACACCATCCTACATGCTGTTATATAGACTGTAAGTCCATTCAGAATGGGCTTAACACCTGAGCAGATGAGATGCTTACAGGATAACCCAATGGGATGTGGGAAGGATATCTTGCCATATTTTATATAATTTTGTTTGGAAATTAGCACACATATATTGAATGTAAATCTGTTTTACTAGTGGTAGTAAACAATCAGAAGATGTTTTACAGCAATAATAACACATCTTCTAGCAGTTATAATAGCAGGATTCTAAACCAGAACTCACAGGTTTTTTTATATCTCAAATGTGAGTGTGTGTATATACACAGAAATATTGTCGAGTCTGTGTCTTCAAGTCAATGTTATATTCTGGCAGTGAGCGTTCTGACTCACCTTTCCCGTTCTGCTTTATTCTTGATAGATTTATCTTGGCTGATGGCTTTGCTATTTTCCATAGAAATCTTAGCCTGGTGTGCTCGCATTTCCTTGCTTTCCCTATGTATTAAAAATAAACAAACAGGTGGTGATCATTTTGTAATGTATAGAAATATTGAATACTATGTTGTGTACTAACATAGGAACTAACATAGTGTTGTAGATCAATTATACTTCAAAAAACGAAAAACAAACCTAACCAAACTCCTAGAAAAAGAGATCAGATTTCTGGTTACCAGAGGCAGGGGTGGGAGGAGGGGGAATTGGAGGAAGGTGGTTAAAAGGTACCAACTTCCAGTTATAAGATTAATAAGTCCTAGGGATGTAATGTACAACATGATAAATATAATGAACACTGCTGTACGTTATATATGAAAGTTGTTCAGAGAGTAAACCCTAAGAGTTCTCATCACAAGGAAAACATATTTTTTCTTTTTCTTTTCTTTTATATCTATATGAGATGATGAATGTTCACTAACTTTCTGTGGTAATCGTTTCATGATGTATGTAAAGCCAAAGCACTATGCTGTACACCTGAAACCATACAGTGCTGTATGTCAATTACATCTCAATAAAACTGGAAAGAAGAAAAATAAATTAGGGGAGTGGAGAGCTAGTGTTTAGTGGGTATAGAGCTTCAGCTGGGGAAGATGAAAAAGTTCTGGAGATGGATGGTGGTGATGGTTGCACAACAGTGTGAATATACTTCATGCCACCCATTTTAAAAATGGTTAAATGGTAAATTTCATGTTATGGATATTTAACTGTAATAAAAAAAAAAGAAAACATAAACAGAAAACACATTCCACATGTAACAATGGGATTAGGTTCACTTTTTATTTCACTATTGAGCTCTTCAAGTTGTTTTGTACTCTGTAGAAAGGAGGGCAGGAGCCCCGATCCACGAGGATGTTTCTCCTGGGGGCAGTGGGTCACTGTGAAGTAACAGTGGTGGACTGGGAAGAAGCAACATTATGTATGTCTAAGCTAACCCTAAGCACACAATGATCGTATTCAGCTGCCCAGAGTAGGACACTGTCATTAACATGCCATAAGAATTCTGAATAATAAAATCTACAAATCCTAAATTATATACAAATATCTCAGGCAATCATGTTTACCAACCTATATACAATTTAAAAAAGAGTAAATAGTGAATACAGCATGAGAGTAATCAAAGAATGTACAGGGACAACCACTTATGGTCAGTAAAATACAAGGATATTCCAGCTTTGCCCCATGCTATTTGGGATCAGATGGCTTGGAAGAGAAAGGATGTTCTAACACTCACAAGTGACCATCCTGTTTTCTGACAGCCCAAGGGAAGGAAGAGGATGAAATGGTTTCAAATAAGCATAGGAAATAGGGGGAGAAAAGGATGTTTACAGGTGACTGATCAGTGTGTGTGTGAATGCGTGTGTGTACCACAAAAACTCATATCTCTATATTATTGATGAGTTCATTAAAAGCATACAATTTAGAATACTAAAATGAATATTATTAAAAAAGAATCTTCCCTGGAACCTGTGGCAATCTCCTTGAAGCACTGCCTGGAAATGAGGGACCAAGGAGTGAGGTTGTTTAAGTAGTGTTTGTACTTCAGGGAAAGGGATGGACAAAGCTGAAACAGAGTTCTTCAGTCAGAGACGTTAGGGCCACAGAGGCTGGAATATGTATAGAAACTCCTGGGCCCAAGAAAATGGCTCTCAAAATTTTTCATAACTTGTTATTAAATTGACCATCTCTTCTTTCATTCAACAAGCACCTATCTATAACCAAATAATGCTGCTGAATGTTAAGAAGGCAAGATTTTTTAACCGAGAGCGACAGCTGTGATGGTGACAAAGAAACACAACTACAGGATGCTTGAGAAAAAGCTTCGATGCTGCTGTTTTTTTGAAAAATACCCCTGTCATTGACCTATTTTTTAAGGTAAGTTAGTAATAAGGTTATGGTTCCTTCAAATGACTTCCTGTGTCATGCAAGAATTCATTTACTTTTTTTTTAGACAATGCCTGCTGTTGTGGGCTAATTTTTTCCCTTTATTCAACTTCAAAAGAAAAAATATTTGAATAGAGTACCTTATTCTTTGAAGTATCTTTGAATAAGGGTGGACACCTAAAATCTGGTATTGTAGCAATGGTCAAAGGGAGGATAATGAACAGACCTTTCTGTGTACTAAATCAAGAGCATTTCTAAGGAAAGAAAGACAATTTTTAATCCTATACAAATAAATAGAATACTTGAAAATGGATAGGGTCTGGAAACTTAGCCCACAGGAAACTCAGCATAGTATATCTCATTTAGTTGATTCGTGTGAGAATCAGAAACTATGGCAAAAATACTTTATGTTCTTATGGCTGTATATCACTCCAAAATAAAATTGGAAATCTGAGAATGTGCCTAGATAATACATGCAGTTAGATTTTTAAAGGCTTTTTTTGATTTGTTTGTAAAGTGCTTCTGTTTTCTACTTTTTTGTGTGTATCAACAGACCATAACTGTGGCATACAGTTGGCACTAAGGAAGGTGCAGGCAAGCTGCAACAAAGCTGTGATAAAAAGACATAACTGACCTAAACACTCTTCTGCCCTGGGAAAAAGTCCAGCTCATCGTCTGCAGTATGCAATTTGCTGAAATGGGGTGAAAGCAAAATAAACAGATATTTTTGCTGTTTCTTGATCAGGCCTGCTTTTCTAGAATTCATAGAAGTCCAGACAATGGAAACAAGGGTCTTTCCTCAGGTACCTCTGAGTGATCAGAACCAATCCCTCTAGGAGCTCAACTGCTTGGTCTTTATCTCCTTCTATGTCTTCTCTTCTAAGAGGCTCCAGATCATTTTTCAAAGACCACCTCCAGCCCTATCATTCTGTGAAGCATCTGGGACCACTTGGAGGTGGTAGAACCTGTGACACTTTTCAGTATGTATCATACGCTACTTGTAACGTGACTTAATTTGTCATGGGAGTGTGAGATCTTGCCAATGCTTGGAAGCCCTTTGATGGCAGAAGCCATTTCTCATAGTTCCTCTTGCTCACGTCAACTGTACAATAGGATATATGTAAAAGCTCAATGTTGTATGTCAAGTTGATTTTCCTTACTACCTTGACAGGTGCACACACACACACACACACACACACACACCACACAAAACTAGTCTTTTGTAAAAACTGGGAGTTTCTTCTGGAGCTAACTCTCCCACCTGTCATGGGACAGTTTCAACTGCTGGGTCTGCTGCTCGTGGGCGTTGATCAGGAGCTTTTTGAGCAGCTCGCACTGCTGGCTGAGGTGCAGATCCCGGATCTCCTGCTCCTCTGCACTGTGGGTGTTGATCATGTCTGACCACTCTTTTGTGTGCTGCGCCACGATCTCCTTGACCTGCGTGGGGGAAAAGGGTGTGGTGCCACCTGGAATTCTCACAGGTCAGGTAGGAACTGAAAACACAATATTAGCCATGCATTTCAGCTCCCTCCCACCAATTTACTTGGTCAATCAGTAGACACCCATATAACCTGCAAAAATATGTACTAATCAGTGGGAATCAGGAAGTCATTGCTTATTAAAATAGAGCAATCACTTTGGCTCTAAACACTTAATCATGACTCATTATTTCAACTGCCTAACTCGCCCACACTCTGGTTTGTCTGGGCTTTGGGGTCCTTTACCAATTCTATCAGAATTCTCTTCATCACCTTATATTTTCCCAGCTTCACTTCCACAAGGCCACAGATCTGAATAGAGAGCTGTGTTCTCTTATTCCTGGATCATGACTTATTGTGTCATTTTAACAGACGCTGGGGTAGAAAGTCTTCTCCTGCAAAGAGTATCCATGCTCTTCACACTGTGGTTTTACAGCTCATCAATAGCTAGATTCTCTTTCTCCACCTCCTTGAATCTGGCTGACCTGTGACTTGCTTTAGCCACAAGACCGTAGCAAATGTGATGCAAGCAGAAGCTTGGAAAGTACTTATCCTTTTTCTATGCCTGGAACCCTGAGGCTAACCTGTGGTAAAGCCTGTGCTAGCCTGCTGGAGGATGAGAGGTCATGTAGGAAAAAACAACCAGCAGTCAGCTACCCACCAGAGAGCTGAGTGAGGCCATCAATTCCAGCTGACTGTTGACATACACATGAGCCCAGCCAAAATCAGTAGAACTGTCCAGTGGAGTATAGCCCAAATTCTAACCCACTGAATTGTGAGCTAATACATAGTAGTTGTCTTACGCCACTAAATTTCGGCATGGTGTTTCATGCAGCAAAAGCAAATTGATATGGTGGCCAACGTTTCTGCTTTCCTATTTATGCAAAGCATTTAAAAATCATGACATGTTGCATAGTTGTTCATTTTCAAATATTCCAGTTAAGAAGAGAGAAAGAGAGAGTGGGGAACAACTCTTAAAGATACACAGCTTACTGCCTCTACAGACTGCATGGCAGAGTGGACACAAAATACACAGCACCAAAGAGAACTTCGGCTTGGATGCCTGGCTGGCCCAGGTGTGTGGCAGGGTTGCTGGCTGGATGACAGAGCTGCATGTAGACATACGGAGGCTGGCTGGTTTGACCAAAAGCTACAGTTGGAAACTTTCTTTCACAGTTTCTTTTCTTTTATAATTATTATAATTATAATTATTTATGTTCTTGATGGCACCTTGGTGCTCAGCTCTCCAAAATGTCCATAATCTTAATTAATGTTCCCTAAACTATTTTCTTGCGTCTTTGGGGCAATCCAAGTAATTAGGCTCATCTCCTAGAATCTCAGCTCTGGATTTTTTTCCCATCCCAAACTTCCACAGCAAAGTTAGGACGGAATAAGTATCAAAGAGCTACTGAACCCTCAAGGTGGGTGGTTTTCTGTCCTATGATCAATGTTACTTCTATAGGGAATCATATTCTGTATTTTATACACTATTTCCTTTTAGTCCATTTATTGTTTCCCTTGATGCCTCTCAGGCAGACAACATAGATAATGTTTACAAATTAAGGAAAAGGTGTTCCATGAAATGGCTCTTCTCCAAGCCAGTGAGCCCAGACCAGCCCCAGGCTACTGTTATTTCTGATTTAAACTGGGTGCAGCTTCTAAAAATTACACAGTATCTTCTGCAGTTGCTGGTGTAAAAATAGATATTTTCTTACCTTAGATTTGTGATCTGATGTCAGCGTCTGAATTTTAATTTCTGTTTCTTTCTTCATTTCAAGACAATTACTTCCCCTGAAAATGGAAAACCACAAATGCATGCCAGGCATTAGATATCTTTCCTCTCCCAGGAACCTTTGCTCCAAAGCCTTCCAATGAAGACAATTTGTTCATCAAACATGAGACGCCATGGCTCACTGCGCAGCCTCGGTTCTTCCAGTAATAGATGCACACCTTACAAAATATCTGTATCGTGATTACTCAATTCAACCACTACACAAAGAGACATTTCAGACCTAACAATTATTTCATTGTTAAAGGTTTGTTGTCAGAGTTTCCATTTTGGTTCCTGCTTTTCTTCAAGCTATTTTTTATTTATTCAATAATACACTATTTAGGATGAGAACTGAAAAATAGGACCTCAGCCTTGAAGCGAGTTTTCAATTCTTCCACTTTGGTTGTAAAGCCAGATTTTTGTCTTTGACACATGCCAGCAAGGGAGAAAAATAGCATTTCTTGGCAGGGCAGGGTAATTTTTGCTTCTTACTCTATTGTGAGTAGGAAATATATACTAGGCAATTGCCCAGCAACTATTACTGCTTATTTCAGTGATTAATTTTTCCTTTTGGAATATCCATAACATTGCTGAAACCAGAATAGGCCCTGAGCTTCTGCCTTCAGTATATATGCTCTGATTTATTATGGCCTACGTCAGAGTGCTTCATCATATTATTAATAGAGAGTGTCTCTGAGAGGCACATTCTAAACATCCAACTTATCACTTCTCCATGGCTGGCACTGAGTGAGTTTCCCTCCTATTCTGTTATTCAGTGAGCTTGCAGCATCACAGAAACATTCCCCCAGCTTAATTCTATCAATAGAGAAAACCTTTCAAGGTAAATGCAGTGATAGGTTTTATTCAACAGTTTCATCTGTTGGCATAAGCTAAGGATTCTTGTAATATTAAACATCAAAATTGCATTTTTTTCCTTGAGTGTATCAACCTTATTATTTATTACCTAGCAATGCAAAATGATTTCTGGAATTTTTCCAACTGTAATTTGTCCTTCCTTCTCCCCCTCGACCCCCATTCACCTTAAAGGTACCATGAAAGACACAGTTATTACTTCATTAACCAACAGCTGCAGAACTTGAATAAAGCTCCTCTTTTCCACTTCAGTCACTCCCTTCAGCTGAGTGAGTCGCTTATTTTCCAGGAATCATTGTTAATGATGAAAACACAGTTAAGACTAAGTTCTTCCTTGGCCTAAACAGGCAGTTGAACTGTGGGAAAAAATAAAACATAAAAAGGCAAACAGCCTCCAGAAGGACATAAACAGCATTTACCCCTTCTTCTTCATTGCCTTCTCTAGGATTTTCTCATGAGTTGACTTCTCCTTGTCATACTGTGCCACAATTTTGTCAACTTGTGTGCAATGTAGCTTCTGCATGGTACTGTGCTCCTGAACGAGAAGAATTTGTAGTGATGAGTTAGACCTGTAGTGTAGCTGATAAACTTTATCCCATGTTGGGCTGGCATAATTTTCAACAGCTCTTTCAGAGTCTTGCTTTGAAAATCAAGGAGTAACTGAGTCTGGGAGCTGGAAAGACTTCCAATCTCCCACCCGACCCAAGAGTTTCTTGTATTTCCATAAGGTATCTCCAACAAGTGGGTTTCCAGCCTCAGTCCATTGAACATGCCCACCTCAAAAGGCAGCCATGCCCACTGCCGGGCAACACCAATCATCCCAAAGTTCTTTCTTCTGCACATAGATGTCTCCATAGAACTGCCACCCATCCATCTTTGTTCTGCTGAGTCATCTGATGAGTCCACCGCCCCTTCTACAACCTAGTCCCCAAAACCCAAGTTCAGCTACCATATTTATTCTCTTTTACATGCTAAATAAAACTATTCATTATGTGGCATGGCTTCTAAACACCGGGCACTTTTTGGAAGGTCTTAAATACCATCATTACACAGTGAGAACCTCCACTGTGGTTGTCAATATCAGCTCATTTTGAATCCCCATCAATTGATATTTTTGCCAGCTTCCTAATCTAGATGCACTCACAAGGATGACAGAAGGTTGAGGAACCCTGGCCTTCAGCTTTACAGATAGTTAAAATATTTCTCCACCGGGCTTCCCTGGTGGCGCAGTGGTTGCGAGTCCGCCTGCCGATGCAGGGGACATGGGTTCGTGCCCCGGTCCGGGAAGATCCCGCATGCCGCGGAGCGGCTGGGCCCGTGAGCCATGGCCGCTGAGCCTGCGCATCGGAGCCTATGCTCCGCAGCGGGAGGGGCCACAGCAGTGAGAGGCCTGCGTACCCCGCCAAAAAAAAATATTTCTCCACCTGCTTCCTTCAATCACTGAAAATGGGGCTGCAATGCTTTGAAAATAAGTATTTCTTTATAAACATTATTTCTTCCTGATAATTTGGTCACAGCCAGGGACTTAACTGAAATCAGATTTCTTTAGCTGATCAGCCCCTAATCATAGAGGAAAACAGTTCAATCAGTAATATCCACTCTAAGATGATGCTTGATGTTATATCCTAGTCTTACTCTTGAGAAACTTAGAGAAATGAGATGATACTAAAGTCTGGAATGGATAGACTTTGCTCAGGTTATATAACTACCCTCATGGTCATGTTTCCTTCTGCTTACTTTTTTAAGTGAGTAACAAAAGTGTGTGACTTAATTTTTTAAAAATTAATTTTCTTCCTAAGGTAGGCTCACCTTTAACCTAATTCATGGATATCTTAAAAGATTTCATAAAGTATAAATGGGGGAGAGATTTTGAATTTTCCCAAGATTTTCTTAATTTCCCAACACTGTTAGCAGGTTAACACAGGACTTGATTTACAGTTCATTTATATATAAATTCTTCAGAAACACATTGGTGCACATGGTCTCAGCATTCCTGTCCAGTGAATAAATGTCTCTGGGAGATGAATAAATGCCTCCGGGAGAAGGCATGGAGGAAGGTGGTGCTAGGCAGGAAGGTTCTCAGAATAGGACCTGATAACAGGGACAATGAGTGCTCCGAGGTGATGTTACCTTGCTCTGGATTTGGGATTAGGGAATTATAGGTAACAATGTCCTGCTTAATTTGTGGTAACCTGGAACACCTCATAAATCCAGTCCTGTTACCAATATCTGTGCCCTTTTGTGTTATAAACTAGGGGTTCTGCATTGGGTTAAGGACATGGACAGTCTCAGGTCTTAGGCCAAGCTACTTACCCTCTCAGTCTGTTCATCTTTATAATTGGGAGAGTGATACCTTCTTCAATCTTTATAATTGGGAGATTGTTGCCTACTTCATAGGGTTGTTAGGATTAAATATAAGAGAAATCATATTTCAAATGCCTGTTATACCTTATTCAAAATACAATTACATACAAACCTACTTATATTATTCAGTACTCATGAAAACATGCAGAGAGTGACCTGGGAGAAGGGAGAACAGCCTGAGAAGTTAAATCAATAAACTCTTCCTCCAAGCTTAACCTACTCCCGCAGGAATAGACTGACACGTTGATGTATCCTTATTTAAATGGATTTAGCTACTGTTGCATTGTCATGGGAAAAACCCCCACTAAATCACCCTACTACTAGCCTTCCTTCTAAGATTTAGTAATTATCATGCCTGTCTGGCACATGTATTAATTTTCCTGCACAAATAAGGGGCTCTATGCAAGTCTAGAATAAAACATTTCAGAGGTGCCACATACCTATGTCTCTTGCAAATATCATTGAAACGAGGGTGGAGAAGATTGTTTCTTTAAATATTCTAGTGCAGCACAAGAAAAGGAAAAAAAAAGAGGCTCTGAGGATTGGAAGTAAGCTGACATAGTCTACTGCTTAAGGAAGTATTCTGGTGAACCTTAATTAACCCAATTAAGATATGAGGAATGAGGGTGTTTGTACCATAAAGGCATTCATGATGGCTTCAAGTATATAAGATATGCTCCACAAGGGCAGGGAAAACCTCTTTTTTTCACCACTACACGGCCCAATGCTTGGTACAAAGTAGATTCAGTAAATATTTGTTGCATGAATTTAAAAAATTAGCATGGAAAAGCAGTAAGAGGACTTGGATTCTGGTCCCAGCTCATCCTAGTGGCCTTGTGTAACAAACACAAATGTTTCCAGGCTTCAATTTCTTTATTAGAAAACTGAATAGGACCTTGTTTGCCCAACCTAATTCATGGTTATGAGCTGCAAGTTACCTAATGTATATAGAATTTTAAAAAATTAGAAGCATATTGAATTAAAATGATTACAATGAATACACATAACAAGAAAGCTCACCTTGAAAAATTCTCTCTTGTGTTTCTCTCTGTGCTCAAAACTATCCCTGCGTGGTAGGTAGTAGGTATTGAAGTTTTGGGATAATCTGGTTCCCAGACACCACTTCCCCTTTCACAAAGAAATGGGGACCTAATTATTGATCATCACGTGATGGGCGTGGCGGTGGGCTCAAGCCTCAGCTTCCTGTTGTACAAACTAGAGGAGCCAGGAAATGATCTCTAAGCCTATTTATACTAAAACAAACAAAAAAGAATCTATCATTGATTTTATTCTTTTGGTCCTTAACTGAGTCATGAGACCCTATGGAAGAGATAAGTCCTTTTTCATTCTTTCAGGTCAAGAGTACCAAAATTAAATATGTTGACTTAAAAGTCTATCTTAATTGGGACATTTTGGGGAAATAAATGTACAGCTTTTAGCAGGATTTGTACGTGTTTCTATCAAAGTTAAGAGTACCTGCTGTATATATGTATATGTATAATTGATTCACTTTGCTGTACACCTGAAACTAACACAACATTGTAAATCAACTATATTCCAATTAAAAAAAGAACTGTCTACCACCATCAACTGCTAAAGGAAAAAAAATCAATAGTAATCTCAAAAACTACAGTATATCTATTTTCTCAGTGGAAAAAAAAAAGTTAAGAGTAAATTCAGCTTCTTCTGGGAAAAACTTCTGCTGCAATTCATTCTTGTGGCTGATGTGACTCTGGGCAAAAATTCTCATGCCACATATGATAATACTGAAACATCTGAGTAAATCGAGTTTGCTCAGCACGCACCTCTGAGATTACCAGTAAGCTGCCTTTGTGGGTGGTTGCTGTGTCTCTTCCCATTTCTACTTCATGACAGAGTTGTAGGTCTGTTACTGACTTCTTACCACGAATTACATTTGATGAGTTTAACAGTAGTCTTGGTGTTTATTATCAGCAAAACTGCTTGCATAGCAAAGAGCATATTTTCCATTAGCAGCTTTACTGAAATGCCAAATTTTAGTCAGATTCTCAGGTACTTTATTTGACTCATCTAGTGATGCTGCTGCAAACTGGTGGTCCAAGGGATGCATTCAGTTTTTGTTATTGCTTTTTTTTTGCCTACATGGTGTTTCAGAAAAAGACTGAATTAGTGGCCAATATTAAAAGAAGCGGAAATTCATGTAAGATTTCAAGTTCTGTGATTCTCCTTTAGAGAATGAAGCTGGCCCACAGACTCTCAAGGTGGGAAGATCTCAGACTCAGACCAATGGTGGGAACTGAGTCTGACTTGCCCTTTGGACAAGAATGAGTGCTTCCCGTGTTCTACATGGGGCCAACTTCCTTCATTTACTTCTTTTACCTCATTTGAGTTAGAATTCTTCTTCTAATGTGTTATTGGGGATATTTACTTAACTTTGGGTTTAAATTTTTTGCTCTAAGGATTGGACCACATCTGACAATTGAAAAGCATGCTTGTCTTTTAATGAAAGCAACCCTAGCTCTGGACCCAGATGAGCCCTGCGCTAGTGTGGGATCATGGTTGCTTAGTTCTGCTCTTTCTGTGTCTCATCTAATGGACACTTGAGAAGCAGTCCACTAGTTTCCATTTCAAATTGAGAAAGTGAGAGACAAGTAGAAGTTTGACTGCCAACCGCATTCAGAGGATCAAAAGCAATTGACCGTTGCCATTTTCCGAAAACTAGCCATGTTAGCTAGCATTTCAATCCCATTTGGGGCTCAAATGGTCATTACCTATCTTTTCTTCCCGCTGTCCTAACAGCAGATCTCACAACTATTTCTTTGGCTCTCTTTCTTCTATGGTAGATCCCCATTGTCATATCACTATTCCTTCTCCACCCTGCAGCTAAACTTTAAGTTTGGAAATAAGCTCTCTTATGGACCATACATTTCTTAAGCCACTAGGTTAAGTAAACCACATTCTCTGCTTCCCTTTCTGAGAAGTGGCATGATTTACTCAGGCTGGTATGTAATAGCTGAGAGTGCCCTACAGTCACTGAACATGGACTAAGTACTGGTCTCTGCTCTTGGCTACCATGTGCCATGGTTGACCCATGGGTGCTGTGATTGGAAGGTACAGCATAGGCTACTTTCCCTCTTCTGTAGGTTATTTTATAACCCACAGCTTTGAGGTAGCAAACCTTAGCCCCATCTTAGGTAGCACCATAACTGTTAGAAAGGGTTATATAAATGTTGTTTCACAGAAAGGTAGTTAATACTTACTATTGCTTGACAACAGGGCAAAACCCATTTTTCAGGGAGGCCTGCTCTGCATCTTATAGGCCTTTAGTGGGGTTTTCACTGAGGAACAGTAAAGAGTGCTAAATAATATTCCTAAAGAAACAGTTTTCAAAATTTAGTGTGCATAGGAGAGGAGCTTATTTAAAATGTATTTCCTAGACTTCTCCTTGGAGATGATAACAAAGTCTCCAGTGGGCACAAGAATATGCAGTTCTATGAAGCCTCCAGTTCTTGGCCCAAGGATCATGTGTTGAAAAAGCAGTCCCAAAGGACGCCAAGATATCTGTGCCCTGTAGACTCATGACTGCTCTTAAAAACCTTTTACTAAGACCATCAAGATGTGTGGAAATAAAAAATAATGTGGGAAAACTCAGAGGCAACCCAATATAGTGATGAAGAGCTTGAGTTCTGGAGTCAGATAGAATTTGGTCCAAAGCTTGGCTCCACCATTTAAAAGCTAGGTGATTTAGTCAAGCTGTGTTTCTTTTAAGTGTAAATTATCTCATCTGGCAAATGGTTGGTAGACTGTTTGCAAAAAGGGCCACAATGATTTCTCTTTCTGTATCCAATCCCCTTTGCAACCTGACTTTGTGGTTCTTCCTGCCAAGAAGTAGAGTCCTCATCCCTTGAACCTGGGACAGCCTTGTGACCTGCTGTAGCCAAGAGAAGGAGGTGGAAGTGATGCTGTGCCAGTTCTGAGATGAGGCTTGGTCTCTTGAGACCCCTACCATGTGAACAAGCCTGGACTACTGCTGAAGATAAGAGACCACAGAAAGCAGAGGCCTTCCAAAGTCAGCCAGCCCCCCACATCTGCCCACCATCTGCCAGACTGGTAGTGACAGCAGATGTACAAGTGAACCCAGATGAGACCAGCAACATCATCCAGCTGAGCTACAAAATTGTGGGCTAAATAAACAGTGGCTGTTTTTAGTCACTACCTTTGGGGATAGCTTGTTACTCAGCAAAAGCTAACTGATACAAGTTAATATAATTATAATACTCCTTTATATAATTGTTATAAGAATACCAAATAATAAATGCTTATGTATATATTAGCTAGTTTTACCTTTTGAAAAGTATTGACAGATAGAAAAACTAGTGTTAGGATAAATAAGATCAAATGGGATCAGGGACTAAGTGGGTCCAGTGGTAATAGATTCACCACATCCTCTCACCTCCTTCACCAGTGTTTCTTTTTTTCAGTTTTAAAGACAAGTGCATTAGTTGAGTAGACCTCAGTATATATTGGGCAAGTAAATATTCCAATATACCCTTAATCTTAAAAGTTGGCTCAGATGAGACAGTGGAAAGAATTAGGGAAGTACTATAGACTGAAAAATTACAGAAACTTTATAGAGAGAAAGGTCTAACTGTTTGAAAATAAGTATTTGCAAAGCCTCTGGACAGTTCAAATAGATGAAAAGCACTTTAATTATAACCAGCATGAATGAGTTATATTGCTCTAGGCACTTCTCTGAATTTCATTTTATTCATGTCTAAAATGTGGATAGTACCATTTGGGTTTCAGGGATATTGTGAGAATTTAAGAATGTATATACAATGTGTAACACAAAAGTGACACTAAATAAATGTCAGCCTTATTAGTAGTGGTAGTTCTATATAAAAAGATTATGGAATTCAGAGTTCGTAAATTATACTGCCAAAGCAGGCTGAATAGAAAAGTGGGCCCCCTGTGTATTTAATGTGGGAGAAGGAATTCATCATAAGCTTATAATCATACATTTGTGACTTGAACTTCTGAAGTACATGAGGATATGGAAAACAAGCTATGAAATGCATTTGCCTGTTAAGAAATGCTTTCAAAAAGCATTCTGGGGCTTCCCTGGTGGCGCAGTGCTTGGGAGTCCGCCTGCCGATGCAGGAGACGCGGGTTCGTGCCCCGTTTCGGGAGGATCCCACATGCCGCGGAGCGGCTGGGCCCGTGAGCCATGGCCACTGAGCCTGCGCGTCCGGAGCCTGTGCTCCGCAAGGGGGGGAGGCCACGACAGTGAGAGGCCCGCATAACGCAAGAAAGGGAAAAAAAAAAAAAAAAAAAAAAAAAAAAAGCATTCTGAAAAGCAACAGGCAAGCACTGTATATTTTACTGTGCAATTTGGCCCTGTTACTTGACCGAAGGCATTTTGAAGGCTTCCTCCAAAAAATGTACTCTAAAGCTGTTACAAAAGTCCACATAAATTTAGATGGTAGGATTTAGGGAGATTTAAAATCTCCTTTTAAGTTTTGGTTCTATTAGAATGTGGGGCTCCAAGAAGCTTGAAGTTGTTTCTGCAAATGAAGGCAACCTGGATTCTATTCAGCCATATAGGATTTATTTGTTACTAAATATTAATATTTCCTCACCAATAAGCATGAAGAAAATGGAAGGAATAAAGTTCAGTGGCATCAGAGGTGGAGGGGAAGAGCTATCAAAGCTACCTCTAAATTTTCTCATGGAAAAATAATTTTTCACTTGCTATTGACTGAATATTTGTATCCCTCCCCACTCTGAATTCATATGTGGAAGCCCTAATCCCCAGTGTGTTTGGAGGGGGTGCCTTTGGGAGGTGGTGAGGTCATGAAGGTGGAGCTTTCATGAATGGGATTAGTGCCCTTATATAAGAAGATACAGGAGAGAGATGAAAGCTCTCCACACCATGTAAGGAGCAGTAAGAAGGAGGCTGTCTGTAAACCAGGAAGGGGGCCCTCATCATACACTGAATCTGGTGCACCCTGACCTTGGACTTCCAGCCTCCAGTACTGTAAGAAATAAATTGCTGTTTAAGCCGCCTGGTCTATGGTAATCTGTCATAGCAGCCCAAACTGACTGACATCATCTTTGCCACTTTTCCGATTAAGCAGATAGGCCTGTTAATAGAACTGAGACAGTCTGAACTCGAAGGTTTAGACAGGGGATCAGCAGACAATTCTGCTCAGTGTTATATAGGTTAAGTTCTAAAAAACCAAGGAGCAACCTTCCTCAGCAGCTGTCCAGGTAACCAGTATATTGACACTGTCCAAACTAGATGGAGATTTACATACTGTCCCATGTGCTGCCACTGCCTTTGATGCAATGCGGGAACTTGTTTACTTACTGAAGCATCCAATATCCTTCACAGAATAATGCAATAAGAGTATGGGTTCCAGACTCAAGACAATTTGGGTTCAAATATTGGCTCTGCTACCCTCTAATGCTGGGGCTTCACCTCCCTGATCTTAACTTCCATGTGTGCACAATGGGGACTTAGAATTTATCTTATAGGGTAGAGAGTATAAGATGAGGTAATAAATATAAAGTGCTGAGCACAGCATCTGGAAAATACTTCACATACAAAAATCCTAGATGGTATATTATTCTTATTATCATCAGACATGGTATATTTCCTGGTCATGCCTCAAGGAAATATTAAATGAGACTCAGGCCAAAATGCTTAAATTTCCAATCAGTCCAAAGGCCATTGAGATGCCTGCCTCAATAACAGAGATCCAACTTAAACAGAAGGAAAATCTGGTGGATGACGCCTTGCCATATGGCTACCAACTCCATTCCTAATAACCAAACTCACTGAAAGTGCATTCGCATTTCCTTTTCTCTCCCTTTTCTGTTCTCTTTCTATATTCCAGCTTGCTGCCAATGACCAAGAAAATGGAAATCCCTACTTGAGCTCTGTCTCCACACTTATAAAAATCTGTGGCGGGTTTCCCACGTGGGCAATGAAAGGAATTCCACTGAACAGAATTGAAATTCGAGCAGTCTTTGAAGTGACCTCTATATCAGCAAATCCATGAAGCCAATAATACAGGGACTAGGCCAAGATTAGGCCAAATTTCTCAAAGGAGCACAAACCATTAAAGAGATGACAGAGTTCCAGCTGCACTCTTTGCATCTTCGTATTTGAAGTGACTCAGAGGTTCATCACTCAAGTCCAGCTCTGCAGGCTGTGCCTTGGTTTGAGGCTGGGGTCAGGGTATAAAGAAGTGGGATGGCAACATGAGCTTAAAAGAATTCAGAAGTCCTTTCAAGTTAAGAAATTAAAATTTCTCTTGCTCTCCTTACCCGTAATGGAAGAGGACATATTTACCCTTCCAGCAGCAGCAGCTGTTGTGATACATCTTAGGAAGGAAAAAGATATCACGTTTGTCTCTTTTCCCGGTGAGGGAAGATTTGAAAGCAGGATGGCATCTGGGTGCTGTGAAGTTTTTCAACCTATGTGAGAATTCCTGCT